AGTTTGTTCTTCTAATAATCCCTACAAGCTCTTTCTCAGTTCAGTTAACCCACAATATTCATTTTCGGAGCGCGTTTGAAAAAGCAGCATTCTTCAGACTATACAAAATTTTTTGGAAGGGCTCCTGCTCAATGACAAATGTTTCCAAAGTCATTCGAAAAGATTGTTGTGGAAAATTGAAACTTCTTTTTTGAAAATGTAATCAAGTCAAACACTCATATCCATGTGTCCTCGTCGCAAGCTTTTTGAACATGTAGCATACCTTCCCTATAGCTGTTTCTAATTTAGAACCGTAGTAAACTCTTAACAACAAGTTTTTTTGAAGGTTTAGCCATAATATGGGGTATTTTATGTGGCTAAAAGCAGCAAGTATAGAGCGTTCTTTAGTAAACCTTCCATCCAAAATAATTTATGTTATAGGCACGTGGGAATAAAACTTGTGGCAATTTTGCGATTGGGTTTTTATGGCTCAATCCTCCTAGGCTACTGTAATCCTTTCTTACAAACATAATTTACTTGATCTGCTAAGATTACAATATTTTCGTCTGATCATGGTGTTTACATGTATGAAATCTACAAGCCTTATGCAGGAGGAAAACCTATTTTGAACATATCACAAATTGTGTCATGACTGAGGGTAAAAACAATAGTAATGCAGCTAAATAAACAGGTTTGGGTGGACTTTAGCCTTAGGTTATGATGAATTAGTCGCAATCAAAGAACAAAGATCGAAGGAGAGAGGCGGCCAACTTTGCACAGCTCGGCAAACATCTGCCATATGAATTGACAGCAGGAAGATTTTGGAGTGTAGCGTTGCAAAAGCATTCTGCATAATTTTCTTCAATGATTAGCAAATTTGCGCGGAACTTTGCTCGATCAGATGTATTCACCATTTAGGCTCATTGTGATATATTTATTATGTTTTAGGATCGTAATTCGCAGCCAATGCGTGATAGAATAACCGAAGCTGCATTGTCGTCGTATTTTGACGAACTTCTTAGCGGGGTAAGCGTTTTTAAACTTTTCCGCCAAAAAAAGCAGGTTACATTGGAAGTGGAAATAAAAAATAGCTTGATTTAATGTGAAGTCATCATTTGTGAGCAGTTCAGGACTTCAGAGATCAAAGCTTTTTTTAGTCTCCGGCGGAAGCACTGCTCTCTCCATTGCGGTCATTCGGTAACCCCCTGCAAACACCTCTGGTCTTCTGGCAAGGTTGCATGCAGAGATGCCCAACGTTAGCCAACTTAGCGCTGGAGATGCTCTCTATTC